GTTCCAATGCAATCAACATGGGGAAATCCAGGGATTGACAGATTGCAAAAGCTTTGTTCCTTAAAATTGTACATAACCAATTGCTTCTGGAACACCAACAGATCATGATTTTCCTTCCAAAAACCTGAAAGTGATAATTCGGAATAAGGGATGGAGATCTTTATCTTAGTCCACGACTGCTCCTCTCCATATTCATTCATGACCCAAAACTGATTATAAGTTCTTTCATCACTACAATGTGTTAAACATAGGCAGTCCCTGAAGACCCCCAACACACAATCTCCCGCATCACTGGAATACTCAACCGGCAAAGGAATTTCTCCAGCCTGCTCCTCTTCTAAAAGGAAAGCTACAATCATGGATGTCTGGTCTGGTGTTTCCATTATCCAATGAAGAGTTCCATTGAGCAGGACCGCATGAAAGGTATATGCCCCAGAATAGGGAAGTGAACACTCAAGCTCCTCCCATGAACCGGTTTTCAACGAATAGACACAAAACACAAGCATATCATAAAACACAGCAGAAACCACCTTGTAATCATCAGTGGAGTGATCAAATCCAAAACCCAGGTGTTGTATATTATCTGGTGCCTCTGGCAGTTCCTCGGATTCCCCGGTAGTTGGGTTAACCAGATATATCGTCATTGGCATTTCAGCTAGCTTGCACAACAACAAACCATCACAGTAAAAAAGGTCTACAACCCTGTAAGATGGTAGGTCACCGCAAACCAATTGGGCCTCAGGGGCAATCAGATCATCAGCACCATGATCATTATTCTGATTCAGAATTAACTGGTCGAGGTTAACAGAGTAAAGGGAACAGCAACCTGGCTCATTGAAAATGAGTCTTCGTCTTTGGTAGAACACATCATCGTTCTCAGAAGTTTTGTCAAAGTGCATTTTGATAAAATTAGGGTCAGCGATGAGAGCATTCCATGGCTTAGATACACACCTGAAGCGGCCCAACGACTTGACTGGCAGCCATGAAAGAATCTCCACTATCAGCTCCCATGGGAGGCTAGGGTTCCCTTTGTCCATCAGCTGCTCCGCCATTTTCTTGCGCAGCTTCGTTCTCTCAGGAGCAGACCAAGCGTTCCCCATGGCCAAAAGCACAGTGCCCTTCTTTTTCGCTGGAGAAAACCAGGCTTTCCCTAAAATCACGTCTATGATATAAATCTTCTTCCCCAAAAGTAAAGTGGTCTAATTTGACGCTGGGTGGACTAAATTTTGAACGGCCCCTTCAATTGCGTTGGACTCGATTTGTAGACTAGTGATTTTCAAATTGGGCTTCCAGTTGGGCCAAATTTGGGCCTACGTTTACTACTGTTGAAAGACGTGGGAGCGGATTCGCTGTCCCGGCCAATTAGCCTAATTCATATCTGCAAGGCGTTTTTTTAACTGATTAAAAAATTCTAGTAGGTTTTTCAGTTAGATGTGAAAGAGATGTATTCTCTATCCTCCCTTCATAAAAGAAGAAGAGTAAAAATCTCATAAAATATTAGGAACAACAATAGATTCATGTCTCTCTCTCTCTTTGTTCTTCTCCAAAACCAAAAAACCAGTGGAAAAGGAAAGCCCCAACCCAAAGTCTCTCCGAATTTATGTGGGATCTTCTTCTTCAAGCCCGTTACCCTCTGCCTCTGCTACCAATTTCAGTCCGATCTCAGATTCTCGGGTATTCATGGAAACTTGTTTTGGTTTGAAATTATTTGTTTTCAAATTTGAGAAATTGTTTTGATTTTGGGAAGACATGAATTGGTTCTGTAAGCATGCGTGGGAAGACATGAATCTATTAATTCCATATGGTATAAATTCTCTTATTAT